CGGCGGCCGCGCTCTCTGGCCCGGGCGGGTGCCCCTCCCCCGCGGGCCGGGCCGCGGCGCGCCGAGTCACGAGAGGCGCGTGCCGCACCGTCCTGGCTCGGGTCGGGCAGAGGACGGTGACCTTGGACCCCCTGCCGCCTCTCTCCGGGTCCGCGGGGCCCAGAGGCCAGCCCAGCAGCCCTCCTGTCGTGAGGGGAGTGCCAGCGCCTCTGCACAGATCTGCTCGCGTTGGGGCGGCCGCGGAAGTTTGGGACTTTGAGTCCGGGGTGGTGTTGGGAGTGAGGACTGGCTCTTTGTAGTGGGGGACGGAGCTTGAGCGAAGATTTGCTGCTTTGCCAAAGGGCTGCAAGTATCTTCACAAAAGTGTTTGTTAATAAGTACTGGGTCCCAGGGAGAGGCTCTTTAGTGTCTTCTGGATTTCCACGTAGGCTGGAAATAAAGCGAAAGAGCATTCAATTTCTTTTGGTTGCAAATATCACTTAACCAACTGGTTTGTGTGAACCTTCCCTTCCAGTTGATTTACTTAAAAGCTATTCTCGTTTATTATATTCTGGAGAGAAATTGAATCTACTAGCGATGCATTCCCAGTTTGGAAGGGGAACTGATGCCCGGGCACGATGAGTGCTCCTTTCACACTGACCATTTTCTGTCTGTGCCCCTCGCACATCTTCAGTTCTTTCTTCCCACAATTGAAGAATCTTTCTGTTCTGTACCCAGCTGGGGATATACTGATGGAAGGACTGGCATAGCCATCAGTGTGCTCCCAGAAGCCAAATCCGTTGTCTTGTTGTATTAAGAAGACACAGCAAATGTTGCATAGTTAGAGCTCCTGCATCAGGCAAACACGCACGTTGCTTTAATTTTATGGAAGATTGTTAAGAGGAAGATTGTTCTGTGATTTTCAAAAGTTTCTTTTGTGCTACTTTTTAATTCTAGGCTCTCACCGAGTTTTTACTTAGTCTTTAGCTTTAGAATTCTATCTGATCTCTCGGGTTCCACCTTAAACCCTCCAGTGTTACAAATGGGGAGGGGGTTTATATAAAGTAAACAACTTGGCTGCTGAGTCCCACTAATCCTTCACACACTGCTAGGAGGCTGAGTCAACTTTATCACTGATTTCCAAGAGCTTGAGACAGTTCCTAGCAGTTTGGAAGGTAGTCAGGTGATTATAATCAGATTATTACCAAAAACCAGTCTCTCATCCAGCTATCATTAGTCTTGTTCAGCTAATTCATTAAGTTCAACTTTTAAAACCCTTGAGGGGAAATTGGTCAAGAATAAAAAGACAGCTGGGCTTGGTTTTGCCTTCCAGCTTGCATGAAACATAGGGCAGGGCAATTGAAAATTTATTGGGCCTCGTTTAAGAGCTCAGTCATTCATTTATATCAGAATTTTACTTTTAACTGGGTGTATTAATCACTTTGGTAGCTTTTTATGGCTTTAAGAGAGGATATTCTTTTATTTCCTATGTATTACCCAAAGGCCCCTTTCCATTTTGTTTCAGAGTTAGTCTTTAAAGGGAATTTGGAGTCAGACAGTCCAATGTCTTGTGCTAAAAAATGATTTCACAGGTTGTATTGCAAAAGTACAGTTCTCTGTTCTGAGGGTGAGTGGATGAGAACCAAAGGCCAGAAGTTTGCAGTGGGTTGCCCTGTGAGGCTCCTTAGAAATGAGTTGAGCCAGGATAATCCTCCTGTGATGTGTTATCTTTTCACAGAAGTGTTTACTTGATAAATGATGGTTGAAAAATTGAAAGATTCCTATTTTACTTCCTAGGAACTTTTAAGAAAATATTTGTATCATCTGAGTTTCATTTTCTACTCCATCTTCATGAATCGGTCTTTGAGTTTTTTCACTTTTAGTTGTTTCTCAATCATCCCAGATCTTTTCAGAAGACAGGATATAAGTAATTAATATTACTTGATTTTTGTGTATCCAGTAAGAACTTGTGAGTGCTAATTATGAGAACCTTTCATAGGCTAAATCAAAGTCGTTTTGGAAGAAAAGTCAAGAGTATAAAACATACAGTGGCTCACCTCCCCAAAGTGACCAACACACCCAGTTAAAACTAAAATTCTGATAAAAATGAATGATTGTGAATAAATTTTCAGTTGCCGTGCCCTATACTTACATTAGCATGGAACATACTAATTGTATGTTTAACTTGGTGTTAATGTGTATCCTCCCTTTCCTGGGAGTTTGTACTCCAAAGTGAATTTTTGTTATCAGTGTCGTGAATATGAAAACATTGCTGATACATGACTAGATTACATGTACTTGATATAATGGTTGCATGTCATTATTTAGTAAGTATATCTGTATTAGTCAACTTTCCTTTTGTTACACACAGTGCCAGACTCCCTCAACTTAAGGTATTTCAAGAGGTTTAATTTAACTCATGTTTTAAGGGGATTCAGTCCATGGTCACCTGGCTCTGAGACATGGTAGAGTAACACTGTTTAGTTCATGGTGTCTGAGAAGAGCAGGGGGAAAAGTGTCAGAAAGGGACAAGAGGTCAGAGGTAGACCCTGACTCCATGACTCACCCTGACATACCTGCCATTTCCCCAACAGAAATCCCAAAGCCAGTCAAGTTGAGACTCCACTCTAGCCACAATAGTATTTCTTTAAACCAAATGTCATTTAGGTCCACTGAAGTACACACACACACACACACACACACACTATGTAGATTCTCTAATGGGAAAGCTGGTAGTTGAGTCAATGAGATAGGCATGTATATAAAAATGACACATTACTCAAAAGAGGTTGGTACTTCATTATATGAAAGGCATGGACACACATAAAATAGAAATGCAGAAATGAACATTTCAGCTGGGTTTTGGGGGTGGTATCTAGTAGCTAGAATTTGATGGTGTTCACTTGATATTTAGAAAATACCAAAGAAAGGAGAATGGTGTGAAGAAATGGGAATGAGCAGTTTTTGTTGTTTTTTTACTTTTAAAACTCACATTTTTTTATTTTTTAAAGAATACAAAATAGTAAAGACAAGCATAGAAATGATACATAATTTCGTTGATCAAAGTAATAGGAATTCAACAATGATTGATGTATTGCATGATGTTATCTTCAAATGTGTTGTTTAGGTTAACAGATATAAACGTGACAAATTAGTTAAAAGCAAAACAAAACAATAGGCTATAAGAAATTAAAGAAAAATGAGAATAAAAAAAAATTTAAGCATTAACTACTCCTTCCAAAAGACCAGCAGAAATCAACAGCCAAGTTATACAAAATATCCTGCATGTATATATAATTATATCTTTTCCCTTATTTGTTTTTTTCTTTTTTAACTCATAAACTTTATTGAAAATCAATAATATATAGCAAATTAGAAATTATAGACAAAAATTGAAATGTAAAAGATAGATTTAGACAGTGAATTTTAGAGAAATATTGCTAAAATGAATACATGAGATTAATGATACATTACACATTGTAAATAATTTACAAACTTGAAATAACAATAAAAATTGTCTGAAATAAAAATGAGTAAGAAAGAATGTACAGATCAGTCATGTAATAGTTCACTCTGTGCCAAAATCAAGAAATATATATTCATATAATTAGAATTCTCAAAGTAGAAGGGGGTAGGCAATAAATATTTAAAGAGTTAAAATTTTTGAATTTAGTTAACATTATAGCACCACATTTCCAAGAAAAATGAATCCTTTGCTCAAGAAATATAAATAAAATCATACCAAGATACATAAAAATAAAATTGTCCAAAACTACTTGTAAAGAAAAAAATCATTAAAGCATATACATAGAAAAATATATTAGCCATGGAAGAATAAAATTAAATAACATCTTATTCCACATTAGGAAAAAAAAAAAAGCAAGTGGGTAAGAAACTAGACCTACTTATTCAAAGGACTGAAAAAACAAAACAAGAAAAGATCTGTCCTTTGAATTGAATTTTATACTTAACAAACATACCTTTGAAAACAAGATATTTTCCAGTTATACAAACTTGAAATATTCTATTTCTTTCAGATATAGCATATAGAAAATAAGAAAGAGCATAATCCAGAAGGCAAGAGAAGCTGCTATATGGTCCTGGATAAAGAATAAAGAACTCTCAAAATGATAGCTGTGCAGGACTATGTAAAATACAATTGTATTAGACAAATCCATTTAAAAGGTCCTTGAAGATTTCCACATAACAGTATTGTTTATGTCAGTTTATATACATATTTTTTTCATATATATGTGTGTGTGTAAAAGACAGGGAAGAACTGATATAAAGTCAATGGAAAATGGAAATATACTTTTTAAACTTTCTAATACTAGGAGAAAATATAGGATGTCTTATAAGTAGATAGTAAGTCAAAGAAACAGCATAGACAAAAATTAAGATTAAACAATATTCAGAAAATTAATTAAATATTAATTCAAAATTTAATTAAATATTCCAAAACAATATTCAAAAGTTAAAATTAAATTGTGAGTCCAACTAAGAGGCTAGAATGTAGTGTATCGTATGTACGAATCTGTGATCAATTCAGAGTACTCACACAGTGTTTGAATAGGGTAATATGTACAAAAATATCAACTAAGAAAAATTTTCATGATAGTAAAGAATTACATAGGATAAAACATAACAAAAATACTGGAATGGCAAATATATGCCCAGCACTTCTAACAGTTTGGGAATAGGATATTGCACAAAGTTCTTGTATGTGGTAGATGTGGACAGTGTCTATGATGCTTACTGGTGGCCAGTTGTCACTTGTGGGACTGAGCTACTGCTAGTTCCTTTATCCACTCTGTAGACCCAGACAGAATTGTGACCCATAGGGTACAGGAGAAGTCCATTTATAGGCCATGCTGATGGAAATATTTTGCTGCTGTATGCAGCAGAATAATTGAAAGACTGCTGTTGTATACCTCTTTTTCTCCTGTGTTTGTTTGCCCTACTTCGTGGGTTCTTTCTGTTCTCATTCATGGAGTTATGGTCATTTTGATCCCTCTCTAGAATAACTTCTGGTAGTCTGTGTAGGGTTGGCTTTGTTGTCATGAGATCTTTAGTTGCTCTTTTGTCATGGAAGTATTTCACTTCTCCATTAAACTTGAAAGAGAGTTTTGCAGGGTATATCAGTCTGGGTTGAAATTTGTTTTCTTGCAAGACTTGAAGTACTTTGCTCCATGCTCTTGACTTGATGGTTTGTGAAGAGAAATCTGCCATTATTCTGATTGGTTTCCGTTTAAATGTGATCTGTTTCTTTTCTCTAGAGGCTGTTAGTATATTGTTCCTGTGCTGAATTTCTGGGATCTTGATTATTATGTCTGGGTGTGGTTTTAACTGGGTTAATGTTACCTGGAGTTCTTTAGGCTTCAGTTACCTGAATGTCAGATAGTTTTCCCATATTTGGGAAGTTTTCTGCTCTTGCTTCTGCCCGTATTTTTAGGGGAGGTTTATTTTTTATTTTTGGTGCTGAGGCTCAAACGCAGGGCTTCCAGCTTGCTAGGAAAGCATTCTACCACTGAGCCAAATCCCCAGCCCCACCCATATTGTTTTTATATCATTTGTATTGACTCCTTCTTTCTCATTAATGCCTGTTGGTTTTACGTTGTTCATCTTTGCATCATCTTGCAGATGTTGAATTATTTTTTCCTGCGTCCTAGTTGTTTTCCAGAGATCTCTTCTTACCTTTTTACTAGCTGAAGTGATGTCTTCAAGATCTGAAAGTCTGTTTAACTTTCATTCAAATGGTTTTGCCAGCTTTCCAGCTTGAAATTGAGGTTTTAATTTCCTGTATATCACTTTGAATCTGCTTCATGCATTTTATTTATTTCCTATATAGGAATGAGCAGTTCTTGATTGGCCACTATCTTGTTAAAATTGTTTGGTGACAAAATAAAGAATGAAGCTGATAAAATAGGTTGTACCCACATATCTGATTGCCAAACCAAGAAATTAGAAATTTATCTTATAAACAGTATGTGATACATTGTGGTGAGGGCTGTGTTATAGATTACAAATGTGAAAGCTTTAAGGAGTAAGACAAAAGAGATTGAGAAACAGTTGGAGTAATTACAACATAAAATATAAATGAAAGGGGGTGGATATATGTAAGGTGTACAGCAAAGAGAGATGGTAGCAGCTGTTGTTGAATGAGGGACTAGAGATAAGCATGAACAGTTGAACCAGAATGCTTTAGTGGTGTTCTATACAGAAAAGTGGTTTTTAAATTTTTTTACAATAATGGAAGACCTTCAGGAAAGGCAGCTCATGAAAATAAATGATTGCAAAAAATGATAATATTTAGATGGATTTAAGTAGTAAACACCTGCAGTGAAGGGGAGACAAGTGAAGAATTTCAAATCAAATTTATATTTACATATATTAGGTGAATTCACTATTTTAAGGCAGTCCTCTAATGTGACAGTAATTATCCCTTAGTATGTCTGCATTGAAAGCCTTCTGTATATTTCCTTTAGAGATCCACAAAGGAAATGCAGAGAGGGTTACATATTTGAATTTCTTCTTTTCTCTTCTCTTGTCAGTAACTTCCCAGACCCAGACCTGGATGAGTATAGTTTAAAACCAACTGCCTTGTTCCTGTCTATAAAGAGCTTATAATGTCATTGAGAAGCTTGTCAAGTAGAGCATGTACTAGGGAAAAGGGAGATAATGTGCTCTGTTCTTTTTTTCCCCTGGATTCCTTTTATGTGTGATGAACTCTTCTCCTCCCAGCCATAATGATTAACAGCTCATCGAAGATTGGACCTTCATGTTTTGGAACTTTGGCAACATTGACCACATGTTTCTATAGATGCCTGTTAGATGCCTGTGGAATTTCACAGAAAATCTGTGGCAGTGAATGAGCCATTGTCACCTGCTCCTTGGCAATGAGATTGTGGCATCATGAGTACATACTTGGTTTCCTTTTATTCAAGATAGCTTCTACTAGCCTCACTTGTCACTTTTATTCTAGGTAGAAACAAGAGAAGATGAAGAACAAAATGTCAAATTGACTGAAATTCTGGAACTCCTGGTTGCAGCTGGATATTTCAGGGCTAGAATTAAAGGCTTGTCACCTTTTGACAAGGTAAGTGGAAAGTTTACCACTAGACTGTTTCTCCTGAGCATGTTATAGTTAACCATGACACAGAAAGGGTGAAGAGGGTGTTTTACTTCCTCCATATCCATGTTAACATTCTCCCTCATGTAGTTCCATTATAGAAGTATTCTTATTTATTGTTTAGCAAAATTAAGGATCAGCTAGTAGATAGTAAAATTATGGTGCATAGTTAAATTACTGTGCATGATGTTGTAGAAAATGCAACAAATAGAAGAAATACTATTTTCTTTCTTTCTTTTTCTTTTTTTTTTTTGGTGGAACCGGGGATTGAACTCAGGCCCTTGCGCTTGCCAGGGAAGCTCTTATTCCACTGAGCCATCTCCCCGGCTCCAGAAATACTATTTTCTTTATTCAAGGAACATATAGTTATAGGTCAGATAGGGTTATAAAATTCACATCAGAAAATAATCTGAGTATTAATTATTCTAAGTCAGTATGCTTACAAATAGTTGATATATATTCTGTTAATAAATGCTCTGAGTTGGAAAATGGATAAATCACTGTGGGATGTAGTATTTTAATTTAGAAGAACAAATAATTATGGTGCTTGTGATATAATAAAAGATGTTAAGAATACAGATACAGGGCCGGGGAGATAGCTCCACCTGGCAAGCTGAAGGACTCAGATTCGATCTGCAGTACCACATGCTGTGCCAGCCCCGAAACCTTGGGTGCGTCCTGCCCGCCACAGAAGCCAGGTGTGGTGGTGCACGTCTGCAATCCTAGCACTGCGGAGGCTGTGACAGGAGGATCACTATGAGTCTGAACTGTATAGTGAGACCCTCTACCAAATAAATGAATAAACAAATACAATATTTCTTTAAAAGTTAAAGAATACAGATATAGCACAATATCCATGCATGGAAGGAGCACCACTTATATAGAGTGCAGAAGAGAGACACATAAACTAACATGCATAGAATGAATGGCATGGTATAATATGTGACACAGTATACTGTGCACAGGATATATGCAGGAGCTGCAGAGCAGCTTGGGAAACTTTTAGAAATCGAGTGTTGTTCAGAAGGTCACAGTCCTGGCTTCACATAATAACATAATCACATGGGTTATTTTACAATATGTGTCCAGGCCTAACCCATTGTATTTCTAGTTATATTTGGGCTGAAGTCCTGGGATCTGTATTATATTGGACATACATGAGTCTAAAACATAGCTGAGATAAACTTCACTGTTTATTCCTAGTATCAATGTGTGTTTGAAAAACATTTTGTTTCAGAGTGAGTGTTGAGCCTTAGAGTTACTTGCATGTCAGAGAAATCCTGTAAGAAAAGTAGAGCAGACATTCTCATCTTCATTAGCTAGATGAGAATATGTGTGGAAATTAAATAACACGCCAAAAATGCCAACTATGTTGCACTCAGTTCTGGTCTCTAAAACACAATTCCTTTGGAGTCTGGCACTTATCTGAAACTAGGTTAAGAAAATCTTTCAGCTGAAATTTAATGTCTGTCCTCTATTGTAAAGATCTGTAGATCATATAATCATTTAATAATAAAAGTCACATCATTTCAAGTGTTAGACGCGTGTGGCTAGTGTTGGACAGTGCAGGTGTAGAACATTTGTATCACTGCACCAAGTTTTGTTTCACTGCTATCTTAGCTGAACTGAATGTAAGGACATTTTCTCTCTCTGAAGTCACGTAATAGTCTATACTTACTGAAACCTGTTTGTATAATTTGTCTACCTTTTATATCTTTCCCTGAACTAGAAAGAGAAATATTTTCCTTTTTTTTCACAGGTGGTAGGAGGAATGACTTGGTGTATCACCACTTGTACCTTTGATATAGATGTTGATTTGCTCTTTCAGGAAAACTCTACGATAGGTCAAAAAATGTAAGTTATTTGAATTTGCAGTAGAAAAGCCTAATGTGGGTTAGAAGGGCAGTTTTGTGGAACTGGGTAATTACATGTTTATATTCAGATTTTTTTTTTTTTTTTTTATGTATTTGGTATAGAATCTCACAGTGCAGATCGGACTCTCAGTGATCCTCCTCTTTTCAGCCTCCCCAGTGGTGGGGTTACAGGCACATGTCACCACACCCAGACTGGTTCACTGGCTCAGCACACCAAAGGGCAGGGCCGGCGTGGCGTGTGGTACCTGTGCTTGCCTAAGCAGGCGCTTAGTCCACTGAGCTGTCTTGCTGGCCACACATTCTTTTTCATTCTTGAAATACTATATATATGTTTATTCTTTTCTTTTTTTTTTTTTGGTTGTATCAAGGATCAAACTCAGGATATTGTGCTTGCCAGGCAAGCACTTATGCCACTCAGCTGTCTCCCTGGCCTATATATATTTATTCTTAATATAAACTCTTAAGTGCTTACATGTAGATCATTTCTAACACTTAGCCCCCAATTGATTAATCTTCATCATGTAGCACATTTCAGAGTATATTTGTTGTTTAAATTGATATTACTGTTTATTTGCTTACTAATACAAACTAATAGTACTAAGCCAAGGAAAATACTTGGCTTAGTACTATTAAAAAAAGTCCTATAAGAAATATTCATAAGTGTATTCCAAAGCTATATATAATATTTCAAAACAAATTGTCCATGCTATTAACATCTTTGTAAGAATATAATTAAGAGAAGAACAGGCAAGTAAATCTCATTTCTTAGTGAACTGACCCTTTTCCATTTCATTATAGTCTTTTATTTTAAAGAGAATAAAAAATAATAATAAACATTAGAAACAATACAGAATTTTGAAAAACAAGATGATAGGAATTCAACAATGGTTGTTATAGTGTATATTATCTTCAAAGTAGTTGTTCAGAAGATCCTGTTTATATCTGGAAATATTTGCTGTCTTAAAGTCTACTTGCCTGATGCTGACATAGCTACTCCAGCTTTCTTTTAACATGTCATGGTATAGTGTTTGTATTCTTTCTTTTTTTTTTTTTTAATTAGTACAGGGTCTATAGGGTCTCACTACACAGATTGAACTCATAGTGATCCTCCTATTTGTAAGCCCTGGGGTTACAGGTGGGCCCCACCATGCCCAGTGTCAATAGCAGTCTCATCTCGTCCTGCAGATGGGACCGGCATGGCATGCTTGGAATCGAACCCAGTCCCTACGTCTGCCCAAGCAGGCACTTTAATCGCTGAGTTATCTGGCCAGCCCGCTTTAATTTTTTAAACAACACAAAAATAGCAATTAAAAAGCACTAGAAACAATACAAAATTTCACTAAACAAAGTAATGGGAATTCAACAGTGGTTGCTGTATTGCATGATGTTATCAAAGCTCCTGCTGTGTGGGATTCAGTGTGGCGTCCACCTCTGTGGGTAGGGGAGGGACTAAGCACAGCTCAAGAAGAATCCAATGATGATGAATGCAGGTGAAGTTCTGCAAAGCTGTCTTGATAGTGGGCCGGCGTAGGGTAGGTTCTCACAGGGCTCCTGCAGGTCCCTGTAGCAGTTTTCCAGGCACCTGGGGTTTCAGATCCCCCCAGCAGTCTTCCTGGGCAATGACAGGTGGCCAGGGCTCAGCTGTATTCCAACAGGGAGTTGGAGGAGGCCCACTGGGTCCTCCAAGTAGTCTTCAGGGTGAAGTCAGGTGGCCAGGACTCAGAAGACCTCAGGAGATCATGACGGGTGGGCGGAGGTAGGCCTACCAGGTCTTCCTGATGTTTAGCTTTCATCTATCATTACTTACCGTTAAATTGGCAAGAGAATATTCATAATGAAGTTCATACTTTGCAAGAAAGTTTGAAAATTACATCTGTAATCACTGTCTAGAATAAGATCTAAAAACAGTGATAGAATGAGAACAGGAAATATAAGCTTCTAGACTGTTACAGTGATGTTTAAAGCAGAAAATTTAAAACTTAGGCAAAAGTAGTCTCTTTTCATTTATTCATTTAATGTTTATTAAATCCCTGCTGTGGATCAGGCTTTATTCTGGGTACTGTGGATTCATTATTGAACAACATCTAGCCCTCACTGAACGCCCAATGTAGTGGTGGGAAAAAGACTATGAACAGTAATAAAATACATACAAAAGTAATGTGTGCAATGGAGACAATGAGAACTAGGAGGGATATGAGGAGAAATTTTGAGTAGGAGGCAGAGATAATTTTAAGGGCAGTCGGTTTAGTGTAATGGACAGCTGAGACTTGAGGGAAGAAGTTCCATGTCAAGACAACTATATTTCAAGTGCTTGTACATGTATCTTATTATTTAACCTTCAGGACGACACTTGAGTAGGCAGGGCAGGGATTACTTCTCATGATGGGAATACTGTACCAGAGGGTCATCTATCACCAGAAGTCCCTGAGTAGGTGGTGGAGCTGGAATGTAGGTCTAGGTCTATCCATATTTCAAACTGTTCGCAGTAGAGGAGGAAATAGTACATGAACACTTAAAACTGAAGGAGTCAGATTAGTTACCCATAATGACATGTTAATGTTTTAGGCTAGGAAACCTACCTGGGGAACTCCCTTGTCCTCTTCCTGATTTTTAAGAGTTGACAGATCTATCCTGAGCTCCAGAGAGAAGCCAAGTGGGGGCTGGTGGGTGTCTGTAAAAGTCTTTCTGACTTTCTTTGCTGCCTATATTTCCATTTAGTCCTAGTGCTTCCTTGTATTTCTTAAACTGTCCTGACTAGGAATTTCTGGGAAGTCAGTTTAAAAGGGTTGTAAATCCTGGGATTACCTTCAATATTCTTCCTTTGGGATACTGATGAAAAGATGAATAGCTATCCCTGAGGAGTGTCCAGGGGCAGGGGACCCTGTGTGAAGGCAGGGGGTTGGACTCAATTATCTTGGCATCTCAGCCTCTTGATTTTGTTTAAGCTGCTGACTTTGATTCTGTAAATCAGATAACGTTCAGCCACTAGAGGGAGTGTTCCCCTTGCTAAACTAGAATGTAACTGAGGAAAGGCTGTGTTCAGGAGTGGGTGGGTTTATGCACAGCTGTCCAGCATTAATAAAGTTAGGACATGCACTAAGCAAGACTTAAAACTAGCACTGGTTCTCATCTTTACTTGCTGAGCACAAACTTGGAATTTAAGTAGCAGGGGCATTTAAATACATATTTCTTCTTTTGTAAGTGGCAAAGAAATTAAACAGGCATAGGAGCCTGATGGAGATCAAACTAAATAATAAAGCTTATTAGAGAAGGCCTCAATGTATTACCAAGTGGGTTTTTTAGTACTTCACTACCATACTATCCCATTTGACCCCTGAGCTGACCTGGATAGCCACAGACTTCCTCACTGGGGCTGGCTGCACATTTTATGGCAGAAAAAAACACATGTCCCACAGGCAGTGTTCTTGGTGGCTATTGGAATGGCTGAGATACCCACATGAGAGCTTCCTTCTTCCTCTCAGCCCTTTTAGAACAGCCCCTCCCCACTTCTGTTGAAGAGAGGTGAGGAGGAAGAGGCAGAAAATATTCTCCCATCTGGCTCTCTCCTGGAGGTAGATATCCTCCCCTCTGTGTTTATGTACAGTAGGGAATCAGCCTGTCTGCTGCATATGTTTTGTTTTTTTTTTTTTAAACATACTGGACTAGACATGGGTCAGTGGGATTGACTATTGTCTTCTGAAATTTATCCTTATTTCCACCTCTGAAGCTGCTTTCCAGGTACCAAACACTGCCTATAATGTATACTTAAGGACCATTCCCTACAGGGTTATTTTAGTCACTTTCCTGTTGCTGTACAAAATACCTAACATCAGCAACTGAAAGGGCAACAGCTTTATTTTGGCTCAATTTCAATCCATGATTGGCTGCCTCCAAGGCAGGAACAGAATGGCAGAGGGGTATGGAGGAGGACTGGATTGTTCAGTCCACAGCAGCCATGAGGTAGGGCATGAAGGGATCATCAGGGATAGCAGAGTCAACTTCCTAAGTCAGGTCCTCAGTGACTCACCCACCTCCAACTAGGCCTTCCTTTCTAACAGCACATTTAGTGGGTAAGGCCACCTCTGAGTGTGTTGCCTCCATTGTCCATTCACCTCCTTCACACATGAGAATTGAGGGGCAACAGTATGGATGTAATCCATCACAGGGATTGCTTAGTTTTTGCCCCTAGGTCACTTAATTCCTGGTAAGACTGAGGATATGAGATCTGTTAAGGGGAACATGGGTTAAAAGGATCATAGCTTCTATACAGGCCTGCATTCTAGACTCAGTCATGGTCTGGCTCTTGCCCAAGCACTGTGAAGCTGGTTCAGGGTGTCTGTCTCCCAGAAAGGAGTGTTGAACTGCAGTAGGACAAGTGGAGATTTCTTTGGAAAAGGAGCTCTTTTGGAGACTCAAAACTTGTTGCATTTGAAATATCTGCCAAGAAATGTTACCATTTGTTCACCAGGGCCTTCATTCATGAGGAGATAGTCCTGCACTTGTAAAGAAGATCACAGTCGTTGCTGTGACCAACTAAGATTTTTTTGGGTGTGGATAGGGTAGAAATGGAGCCCAAAGTCCCTGTTTCTCTGTGCAGCTCCAAAAAGCCATGCCAGGTGGCTGTTTTTAGAGGTTTCTCAGTCATGCTATGGCTTTGAATATTTCAGACTCACTAAATCTTTTTTCTCTTCAACTGATAACAAATGAGGTGTAAGAAATAGTAATGCTACAGAGATCAACCACCTGCTAATGGGAGAAAGGCACATGATTCTGATAGAATAGATTTGTACACAAGACAGCCCTATCTCTCATCATAAAACTGTCCCATCCAGGCGGAGCTGAGAAACCTCAGCAGAGTGAACCATTTTTGGAAGTGAACCTTCTGTGGAAATAGAAGGTCTTTCAGATCTAGGATTGATTTTAGAGCACATAGCATAAAAAATGAAGGCTATTATTTTAAAGTGTTTTTGTGTCAAAGTATAAAAAGTGTAGGTCATTAAAATGAAATGTAAAAGAACATGGAGCACTGATAACTTTTTATTTCACTATGTAAGAATATTACAAGTATTGCCACGTCAGCATCACTATGGGTCGGAAGAGATAGCTCAGTGGCATAAGCACCTGCCTGGCAAGCACAAGGTCCTGAGTTCCATCCCCAGTATCAAAAACCTGAACAAACAAACAGACAAAAAGTCACTATTATTTCATAAAGAAAATATTTAAACAGTTAAACAGTGAAAAATAGGAAGAAAAACATTTTATTTTATTATTTTTGATTTATTTATGTGGTACGAGATTTCCTAAGCAGCTCGGACTGGTAGTGATCCTCCTGTCTCAGACTCCCCAGTGCTGGGATTACAGATGTGCGCCACCATGCCCAGTTTCAGTGGCCGGCTTGGTGCAAGGCTGGCATGGCATGCAGTACTGGGGATTGAACCCAGGTCCTTGAGCTGGTCAGGCAAGCGCTTCGGCCGCCAAGCTATTTTCCTGGCCCAGGGAAAACATTTTAAACAAATGATGAAGGAGTTTTTTTGACCTGACGTGCAAACCTAAATTGTGCTACTTTTCCTTGCTTTGCTCTCAGCCAGGAAAAACTCAGTCATGGTCTGGCTCTTGCCCGAGCACTGTGAAGCACAAGTTCTTCTGGGATGTGGCCCAGAATTTAGAAATGTCTTTATTGCTCCTCACTACATTTCACTCTGTTTTTCTCTGACAGAGCTCTATCAGAAAAGATTGTCTCAGTCCTTCCAAGGATGAAATGTCCACATCAGCTGGAACCCCATCAGATCCAAGGGATGGATTTTATTCACATATTTCCTGTTGTGCAGGTGAGATCTTCCATGTGATTTCTTGTCCTCTGAACATCAGAGTTCCTATAATAATTCAGGCTCTTGGATCATCTGGCCTGGATCATGGGTTTAATGGGTGTAGAATGGATTTCTTGCACCAGAGCATGACATGTCACTGTTCTGAAAAGGTTTCCAGTACTCCATGTTCACTAGTTCAGTGGTGGTATGTGTGTCATTTTCTTTCAAGATGAAAATTTTCAGGGCCAGGGCGATAGCTTTGTGGTGTAAGTGCCTGCCTGGCAAGCTCAGGGACCCGGGTTTGATCACCAGCATTGCACGCCTTGCTAGCCCGGTGCTGAGCTGGCCACCAAAACTGGTGTGGTGGTGCACGCCTATATTCCCAGCCCTGGGGAGGCTGAGACAGGAGGATCACTATGAGTCTGAGCTGAGTAGTGAGACCCTGTATCAAAGAAATAAATAAAAAGACAGGATTAAAAAAAAAAAAAGATAAAAGATTTTAATGTATAAGTTGCTTTTTCTAAATTATAAATCCTCAGTATTCAGGTTTAATTTCAGTGTTGGTACTTTGTAATAGGTGGATTTTGGTTAGCAGTTTGCGCACTCGTCCCTAAAAATGTTCAGCAACACTGCCCTAGCATTACACTCTTGTTAGGCTCTTTCTGTGTTTCCTTTGTCATTTTTATTGTTTTACGAGTACAGGTAGAACTCCAGAGCCCTGCACTAACTGTTCAGCTTCATTTCATTGTTTGCTTTTTTCTTTTTTCTTCTAGCCCTTCTTTGTTCCAGGTTTTCCTGTACTTATGCTTCGTCCTGCCACCATAGGATTTTGCATATACAAATTCTGTGGGCTGGAATGCACTTCCCTTCTTGCGTTACGTGTTTAAAATTCATGTTCCTCCTTCAGATCTTGATTCCAACAAACCTTCTCAGGAAAGCTTTCTTTGACTCCTTAATCTTTTTTTTTTTTAATTTATAAATTTGGTACAATTTCTCACTATGTAGCTTGGACTCATAGTAATCCTCTTTCAGCCTCCCTACCTCTAGGATTACAGCCATGTGCCACCACCCCTGGGTTGCTTGCTTGGCGAGCCCAGGGCAGGGCCAGCATGGCATGCAGTACGGAGGATCAAGCCCAGGGCCTTGCACTTGCCAGGCAGGCGCTTAGACCACTGAGCTATCTTCCCGGCCCCTGACTCCTTAGTCTGATACTGGTTCATTTGCTGTATTGCTCATCTAGCCACATTTCTTTACTTCACATGAAACTTCCTTCCTGGAGTTTATAACTATGTATATTGAGATGTATGATTATTTATCTGTCTCCCGTAAGACTGTAAGCTTCATGAGGACAGGCACTATGAGTGTCTTGCTCACTTTGTCTGTAATAGTGTAGTAGCTATCAGTGTGTTTGACAGTTTATAGACAGTCCTTGTTAATGTCTCCTAGGAGACTTCTCTGGCTAGCTTTTTCCCAAGATTGTGATTAAGTGGCCTTTGCTGTCAGCTTCCTGTGTTCGATGCAGTTCTTGTTTGTGGACTTCCCAGGCAGCTAGAGAAGGGGAAGAGCAGAGGAACTTATGTTTGTTTCTGCTGTGTAAACAATACTTTGTGTCTGATCATAGAAGTGTTTTTGTTTTAGATATCTGTTATAGTTCAGTCCTACTTTTGAGGAAAGTGAGACTCAGCATAATCAGTTTGCTGAGGTCAGAGCTAGTGCATGGAGAAGTAAAGATTCTAGTCTGAACACCATCTCTGAACCTTGTACTTTTCCACTCCACTGCTCATACAGCCACGGAGAAGGTAGTTGCACAGCCCTTGCTAGACTGTCTTCTGGTTCTGCCGTAGGATTACGTAGTGCAGGAGTTACGAGCACAGGCTTTGGAGACCCCTAGGTTTGTACCTTGCCCTCAAGCTGTTCATATTGGCACACACCACTGATGCTAGCACTCTGGGAGGCTAAGGCAGGCAGGCAGACCTGAATTTTGAGACCCTGACTCAAAATAAAATTAAATGAAAAAAGAACTGGTGTGTAGCTCAATGTGAAGAGCCTGGATTCAATCTTTATTTTGACAAAATGAAATAAAAAAGCTTTGCCTCTGTCACTTTCTGGCCAAATGACCATTAATGCCTTTTCCATCTGACAGGATGAGAAGTTAGTGTGTAATATATTTATTTATTTTTTTAAAGCTATATAAAATTTATGTTTATAGATGAGTATTAGTATATTACAGTAATTATTCATAGTAATTATTTGTGAATACTTTTTTTTTAGAATGAGCTATATTGATTTTTTTTCTTTTTCAAAATTTTATTGATATACAGCAATGAGACAGTTTCAAATCAAATCGGAAGTACAGTTTCAACAAATAACACACTGCATATATTCTTCTTAGTGGTTAATTGCTGTACAAGATGCGGACTTGTGATCCTATTTACAAACACCATTAGAACAAATCATTCTATTCATTAAGAGAATGCAACTATATATCTATCCTAACCACTTTGAATACACAGATACAGAATGGACATTCATAGGTATACCCCATTTTTCCTAAGTTCCGTTATTGAATATTATAGGTGTGTAAACTCAGCAAAATATTCTAAAAGAGTCCAGTAGACCATAATAGCATTGGGTCTTCTGTTTAACTGGCAATGTCAGAAATTATTGACCTGAGTCCCCCACAGCTCAACTTAACAGCATGGCTTTACTTCCTATATTTTGTCTTCATACTTTTCTTTCTTTTTCTTTTTTTTTTTTTAACATTTATTTATTTATGTATTTATTTTTTCCATAATTTTATTGAGAAAATAGAAATGAGACAGTTTTATATCAAATTGGTAGGAGAGTTCCAATAATTAACACATTGCATACTGACTTCCTAGTGGTTGTTTGTTGTACAAGATGCAGACATGATATCCTATTTATAAACACTATTAGAACAAATCCTTCTATTCATTGAATTACGAGAATGTAGCTATATATCTATCCTAACCATTTTGAACACACAGATACAAAATGGACATTCATCTGTATCCCCCCCTTTTTTTTTTCAAAGTTTTATTGATAAACAGCAATGAGACAGTTTCAAATCAAATCGGAAGTACAGTTTCAACAAATAATACACTGCATATATTCTTCTTAGTGGTTAATTGCTGTACAAGATGCGGACTTGTGATCCTATTTACAAACACCATTAGAACAAATCATTCTATTCATTAAGAGAATGCAACTATATATCTATCCCAACCACTTTGAATACACAGATACAAAATGGACATTCATAGGTTGTATAATATATTTAGATGAAAGCCTGGCACGCTAAGTTATGGTAGTGAGTGCTTTATAAGCATGAAATGCTAGCTTGTGTTGTCATCTGTTCAGTCTTCTCTGCACTAGACTTGAGGTAAGATGCCCTGAGTTGTGCTCACTTTGGCAGGACATATACTAAAGTGCCCTGAATTTTGTAAATTTATAAGTGAAATTTGTAAATTTTAGGTTAAGAGTTTAGCCTAGAATTTGATTCATGTTAAACTTTCTGTTTGTCTGATGCAAGGAGGTGGTATCTGATCCTTTTTGTGAAAAGAAGCCAGAGCCCAGTGTTGATTACTGACAGCTCCAATGCTGTTGTGCTGTAAAGGTGTTACCTGTCTCCCAAGCATGGCTCTTTTAGGGTTAAATCTAACTCCATCCTGTGTTATGCATTTGAGGGCAACAAATCTAGTTTTGACATGAGAAGTTGAGTGGAAAGTGGTGTTCTGCAGTCAGTTTGAGCATTTTGAGGGTTTGTGAATGTTTCATGTTGTGAGTGAAATACTGAGAAGTTCCTGTCTGGATAGGAGAGCCTAAACTAGGTTACCAGATTTTTTGATTTCATGAACCAATAAAAGTATAAAGCAGAAAATAAAGGTTTACATAGAGTTGGCAGTTGGCCTGGCAGGAATACTTTTAAAAGTAACTGCAGTTAGGGGCCGAGGAGATGGCTCAGTGGAATAAGTGCTTCCCTGGCAAGTGCAAGGACCTGAGTTCAATCCCCAGTTTCACACACACACACAAAAAGTAATTGCAGTATTGTTTTCCCTAGAAGAAAGGCCACTAAACTCCCAATCACAGACAAGAGGACAGTCCTTCAATTTTTTTTTTTTTTTTTTATATTTTAGAGAATATGTTTACACTTATAGAAATCTGACACAAGCCTGCAGGGTTTTTCTGTTTGTCAGAGACTAATAAAAGACTATAGATGAGCAGTTAACAGATAACCTGGCTTGCTTAAGTAAATCTGGGGGCGCACCAGCCATATTCACATAATTTGGCAAAGTTGTAGCTGCACTCTGAAGTGCTGCTGAGACAAAACAAGATTTAACTTCCTGTGGCAGATCTTGACCTCACAAGATGTTCCTGCTATAGTCATTCCCACTGGGACCTAAAACAGAACTTCCTGAGACTCAGCAGGCTTTTTCCCTGGCTTCTTCACACTTTAGAATCCCACATAGGAGTAACTCAGAGTAGATACAGGATTAATGGAGTCAAATCTAAAATGGAAACAGACATGAAAAGCTAGAAACTGGGTCTTCTGATCAAAAGAAAGCAGAGTTAAAATTGAGTTGAGCAGTAAGTCATCTTAGAGATCTGTGGCTGTGGTGCTAGGGTGGGAATGTGGATAAAAGCTCCAGCAGGTCTGAATGCTCTGATCCTTTTCTGCTTCTGCTTTCAGTTGGTGCTCTAGTGATTGGAGGTGGAGTGGGATAGAGTAGTAGAAATAAACAAAAGGTACTAGCAATAGAGGAGTATTTTTCCTGCAGTTATTGGCAATTACTTCTGTCCTAGACCTCCATTCCTAAACATGTTCTTTGCTTGAGCTGGGTACCTTCTGCACAAGCTTTTCTTCTTGTGTCTACTTTCCTAAGCAGCTAGACCTCATCAAGTGTGAGTGCTCTTGGTGAAAACATAGCTATTACCCAAAAACTGTTTTGGGGTAGAGTCACTTTTTCTGGAAAAGGAACACCAACCCTGACAAATGGCTTCCCCCTTGTTCAGTAACAAAGGGAATAAATAGAAAGTGAGGAGGAGAAGCACAAGTTTTTTCTGCACCTACATTCCTTTCTGCACTCTTACCTGCACTTCCAGGATCTTCCCTGGGTTGTGGGTTTGTGCACACATGTGTGTGTGTGTATGTGCACGTGTGTTTTAATTACCTGGAGATTTAAGTTGGATTAAAAAAGACCAGTTGCTTTTGGATGTCAACCCAATAAAGCTGAAAAGAGCTTCCTAGCTTTGTGACTATAGAAGGAAGAATAAATACATTGTCTATATCTCATGTTCTCTGGAAGATTAAGAGAGACCTTTATCAGGCTAATCTATTGCCTTGAATTCTTAGTGCACACTGTCTTCAAATCATAATATTGTGGAGTTTTTCTTCACTATTAAATGAAGGCTTGTATGAGATACTGTTTGTGACTCTTTCCCCTTTCCCTGTTCTGTGGTGCAAGCAGCATAGGAGTTTACATTAAGAACTGCCCCTCAGGCCAGTGGTTGGAGGAATAGTTATATTTACCTTGTGCTTCTGATATTTACAGAGTACTCATTGTGATTTCATTTGACCTGGTTACAGCTCTGTATAGTCAATAATATACAGAGAGGCCTTTCCTTTGAGAGAGGCAGGCTGAGGCTTGCATATGAGAAGTACAGCTAGTCAGCGGTGGTCCCACCAGGTCTTGGCATCATGGGTGCCTGCCAACTGCTTTTCTGTTAGGACAACTGTGCTGATTGGTATTCAGAAGATGTGTTATCTTTGAGCAGGACTTCACCACAGAGAGATTTTGTTCCTGGTAACTCATATTTTCTTCTTTCTCTAGTGGCTGGTGAAACGAGCTATAGAAACGAAAGAAGAGATGGGTGACTACATCCGTTCATACTCTATATCCCAATTCCAGAAAAACTACAGTCTTCCTGAGGTCAGTTTTGTACTTTTTTCTTTTGACCACTGAGAACAAGTGTACACATAGACTCCCAGGAAGGAGGACATTAAGCTTAATTGCTCCTTCTTGGTCTTAAGCCAACATTGAAATGGGCCTTGCGGTTCAGTAGAACTATTTCAATGGCTGTGGAGTGTGAACCCCTGTAGAACGCTGTCATTTCTTTGAATTTTAGTATTGACCCAGAATTTCAATTAAATGACAAAAGGGGAGTGTATTTCTATGTAAAGTTTTTAAAATTT